GGAAAATGCAAATTACATTTTTATTACTAATGTTTTAAGAACACCGGTTTGGCCATTGAATTACTGAACTGTTTTCAGAAATGATGTGGTTTGTGGTTTCAGAAGTGTATCTAATATGGTGAGGCTTGAGACAAAAGGAGAACATGAGCAGCATTTTGTGGAGATATTTTAATACAGATTTGGTTTATACCTACTGTAAGTATGGTTTCAATTTTATTGTTGGAATGTAGGTCTAACAGTTTTGGCAACACATATTCACAGATTTCAGAATGTAAATGTGTAGTGTGCTTTACTTGCTAAAAATAAAGATCATCCTTGGTGTTGCAACTCTGTCAGTGAAGGTATTTTTTCTCCCTGAGTTTCATCAGCCAGATGGAGTTTATCATTGGCTGTTTTTTCCATTTTAAAATGCAGCTGATATATCTCTTGGTGTGCTACCAACCAGTTCCACGGAGGAATTAATAAATCCTGAGATTTTTTTTTTTAAGATTTCCTTCTCAAGGTCTGTATTCTTTGTTAAACATGATGTTTAAAATATTTAGGGTTGAGTTTAACCTACATCCTTTCCTGAAGTTGGGGGCATAAACAGGAAGTTCTGTTTTCTACCAGAAGACCTATCTTCATGAGCCTAGTAGAAATAGATCTTCACTTGTTGAAATTCAGCTGAAATTGAATGAATGGTCTCAAATACATGCGTGTGTACATAACGTCTGAGCACTTATATACATGCGTAGACATACGGAGTATTATTTCATAGTACTTATCTCTTTTATAAAACAACAAAACAGACTTATCAAAGCTCTGCAACATAAAAAATAAGCCTAAAGGGTAGTCTAGATGTGTGTATTCTTTTTTTAGTTTTCTGTAACCGTCTCTCTTGATGAGAGAGTTCTGTTTTCCTGAGAAAGAGGATAGATGTATTTTTAAGTATATGACTGTTTTATTTGGTTGGCGAAGATACAGTCACATAAGTGGTGAATGATACGAACGTCAGCAATACAGTTCCATCAGTTTGAAACAAGAATTGTTCTGATTTCTAACCATTGTCATCATGCTTTTTAAGGCGGGGACAATATATAATAATACAGGTCTCTAATCTCCACTGAGAACTCTGGACTAATCATTTAGTGTTTATTTCTAAAACCTCTTAAGAATAATTTAAAAATTTTTTTACATCTTTCTTGACATTTGTCCCTTTGTGAGAATTACTGGCAGTTTTTCTGATAACTAGGTTAAAAAAAAAAAGGAAGATAGTCCTGTACGTCCAGTATGTAGTCAGTATCAGAGCAGTTCTGTGGTCTTACTAAGATTGGAGTGGGGTGGGGGGGCAGAAATTTAAGGGAGAGTTGAAGCAATTCCAGTAAGTGTTATACATTCTGTATTTAAAATATATTTGTTGGGTATTTTGAATCTTTACTTCCAGAAAAAAGCAGTATAGGTTAGAGATGGGAATTAATATTGTAAAAAATGGGTAATTTGCAATACATTTTTGATGATCAACTGGTAACTGGTTGTTCCATATTAAGTTTGTTTGCATTTTTCTTCCCAGTTTTGTCACTGATAATATTCTCAAAGTTGGCTGTGGTTAGCAAATACCTCCTTATTGGTTGGCTTGTCCAGTATGGACTCATCTAATATATACTAGACTCTGCTTGGTCTTTCTCCTCAATTTCCACAACTAATTTGCCTTGAGAATTTTATTTCTCGTTCTGCTACAGACATACTGTTTTTCATACTGAAGCTCCTGCATACTCATCATTTTCTGCTTTGCTTTTATACCAAGCACACCCATATGTGCAAGTATCATTTGAATAGGGCTAATTTTCCATTTAAATATAACCATTTATACTCAGTTCTTCCGTATGCTGTGTCTACCAAAAGTCTTTCCATCTCTGTTAATGTCTACAGGAATGTTTTCATGATGTCATAATTTTGACTTGAACACAAGGAAGAATTTATATGTTCAAACACTCCTAAGAGTAATTTAACAAATAGCTGAAAACATACTAAAAGGTGGCTGCATGGTGAAGAGCAATATAAGAATAAAATTATAATGAACTAATGTTATTACTTTGTTAGTCAAACACAACTAAAAGGTGACACCTACTCATGCACACAGCATACTGCTCTGTTATTTCCTTAGTGAAGGACATCAACAAAATTAGTGGCAATCAACCCCTGAATTACTGCTAGGTCAGCTAATTTTGTTTAGTAGTGCTGTTAATCTTAAATACAGCATTGTATGTATTTTAGAGACCAAAGATAATAACTGCTACTGGCCTTGATAATATAAAAATTGATACTAGTATAATTTCAGTCACATGAAATGCATTGATATTTTTTCTTCAGAAGTTGCAAAGAGGGCATTGCTTTTGATCTGAGGGTATATAGGCAAAGCAACTTTCCATACCAAAACTGCGAAATATTAAATCTACACATTTCTATAAATTCTTCTTCAATGTTAGCCTTGCCAAGGTGAAAGAGCACTAATAGAGCAATAAGTTTCATTTCCTTTTATCTGCAGAACTAGTACAACTTTCTTGTTTTGTCAATGCAGAAAGCAAACGAAGCACTAATAATAAGCATTTTTATTTGTCTTTGAATTCTCTTATTTCTGAAAATCAGTGCATTGTCTCGAAGTAAGTTTTCTAATCTGCTGAGACTTGTTCTCCACTATTTGTAAATTATCTGATGTGCATGTAGAATGTATTGTATGAAGGAAACAGAGCAGATGATAGAGTTGTTCTGGGTCTGGAATAGGACCTAACTGAGATGACTTAGAAATTACATTATTATACACATGGGGTCAGGAACACAGAATAGGCTAACATAGGGCAGTTGCAGTATGTTTTACGGTTCCTCCAGATCAGATACCTTGACTAAGCAGCACAGTTGGTCTCTCTCTATGAACTCCAGTAAAAAGAGTTTGCAGGTGAAACGATTCTTCTTAACAGAGAATCCCACTGTAGTCTATATTATGTGTTAGCATCTTGAGAAAACAAGAGCCATATGTGCTCAGCATTTAATTTTTCAAGGTGATTTTCAATGCAGCAAAAACTCAGTGGAGGTTGCTTTACAGTATCCTTTCAGCTAATTAGCAAAGTAACATCAGTTATTGGAAGTATATTTGCTGTTGAAGTCAGCTGTGTTTTGGTTCTCTTCATTTAAGTGCATTATAGAAGCAAATGTGTTACATGATGTACATACTGAAACAGGTAAAATCCTTACCTTTCAAGCAAATTTATAGTGGCTTCATTTCAGTTTCTGAATACTGTTTTAAAGACTGAATAGTAGTGAAACGTGGAATGCAACTTTCTCCTTGACACATCAGGAATAGTCAGTTTGCAGTGCTCCCTTTAGAAGCCTATCTGGGTGAAATATAGTATTCTCTTATTTAAGTATGCTGCTCTTTAAAATAGTTATCTTCAGTTTATTACACCTCATTAGTAATCGGCATAATTCTATTTATAAGGCAGTTTTTACTTGAGTGAACATTGATATTTATATTCAAAGAACAATCCAGTTAAAAATGGGTAAGCTAAAGTATTTCACTTGCAGCTTAGCAACCTGATCAAGTTATTATTTGTTCCTCCGTTATTATAATATGCATTTCTTTTTTTTTAAAGCTGATATAAGTCAGGATAAATAGATACTTCGAAATTAAATACAAAGTAATTGGGATGTGAAGATGAAATTAAATTATCGAGTATGATGGCTCCACATACTCTAAAGTAGCTTGTTCACATGTTGTTTATATGTAGTATAAACTAGAAATTTTGAGGTTTTCATCATTTTCTTTATAATTTTAAATTGAAATAATAGGAGAAGTAGAGTTATTTTTAAATGCTTTGTCATTTACTTAAACCGCATTTTTGTGTAGCTGAAAATAATAGAATCTGTGGAGTAGTTTACATCTATGTAGATGTTCTGGCTCCTCGTTTGCAAGCTTGCCATGATCAAAAATCTGAGGTTTGTGTGCCTGCTTCTCTAAATTGATTTATGCCTCATAGCAGTGTTTAGAAAAACAACCTCAACGTCACTCAACTCGAGAAGGCTCCTTCTAATATGTGTGAGGAAGGACTATGCCTCTTCAAGTAATATTTCTCTGAGGAAGCGTGCTAGAGAGGTTTGGGGTTTTTTTTTCTTCCCCTGTAACATGGAACATTTCTGCTCATAAAAGCAATTGTGGTCTCCTAAGGAAAAAAAAATCTGCATGAACATCCATATAAGTAAACTTATATGTCAAACTTTAGTAATTGTTTTAGTTGTGAGAAATCTGTCTGCTTGAGTGGAGACCAGAGATGTCAGTGGGTAAGGTGTGAGGTGGTTACTTCTCAGTATATACCCTGGGCTGAAAAATCTGCACGGTTCCATCTTAATTGGTGTGCTTTCAGCTGAGCTTCTGTGAGAGGCTTTTTCTAAAGAGAGATCAGGTAAAGGAATAATTTGTTTTTGTTACCGTCCAGTAACAGCCTCGAGTGATTTGTTTTCCTCCATAGAGTATTGCCTCATACATATGTACAGGTGAAGCCAGAGAAAGGGAAAATGTAGAGGAACAAATCTGGAAAAGCAATGAGATGATCCCTAGGAAAAAGGAAGCACTGGGTAGTGAGTGGTCATCATCCTGAATGTCGGAGGGACTGATGAAGAGGAAAACTGCATCTAGGTTATCTCACCCAAGCCACCAAAAGTGAATTACCTGGTAAATAGTTGTATAATTCCCACTTGCTTTGATAGACAATGAATTATGGAGTAGACATTTTACTTCAATGTTCACAGATCCCAGCCCAAGACCATCGTATTTTTAATGTCTTCATGCTGCGTTTAGAGCACTTCTCTGCCTGGTCATGATCAGGAAAATGAATGTATTCATTTTGTTAACAACAAATGTTAGATTATCAAATTGAATTCAAATGTAAGCATCTTTTACAGATGAAAAATTTCCAGTAAAAATTGAATTTTACTGATATTTCTGTATATATGTTTTTTTTTCTCTACAGATGATTCAGACCATCAGGATTCTAGTTGAAAATACAGATAGCTTATATGAGAAGATAGTGCAGTGTCAAAAAGCAGGTAAGTACAACCTGTTTTTAAAAAGTATTACAGAGAACTTACCGTATTTTTCTTTATTTCCCCAAACTTTTAATTGAGTTTATTTATTTAACCATAGGGGGAGAAAACAAAAACAAAAAAAGAGATTATTGTAATTTAGGCACATACAGTAACATTGAAAAGGACATTTCAAATCATAGAAATCAAAGATCCATAGAATTATAGCTTGACTTTGGAAATCATGAGCATTTTATATATTGACCATAGTGTGTGAATATAGTAATTTCCACAAATGCAAACATAGGATTACAGGAAATAAAGAGAATTATTTTCCTTCACAATTAAATTTTTTAACTATTTACTTCTATCTTCTCTTTTACTATGTGAGAACTTTTCCTCTTTTGTCATGGTAGGCTAATGTCTTCAAGAGCCTTGGTGAAGTATCTTGCCTTCTGATAATTACATGACAATAATTCAGATATTTCATCCCTGTGTTTCTCTAGATCTGTTGGGTGGATACTCTCTGGTTCTGCCAACTTGTTGCTATTTTATCTATTCAGAGGAAACTGGTTTTGCAGACAATTACACGTTCTGTGGCAGGCTTTTCAAACCACATGGATGCAGAAAGTCTTTTTTTTTTTTTTTGCAACTTTGTTATGACCTATTGGTCCCACAGATTCTCTGAAAGTTTTCCTGTTTCTGATATATGTTTGAAACAGATGATATAGTCAGTTCTTAATCCCTTCACAAATTGCCTCTTTTCACCTGATATTTTGTAGTGGTTTTCTCATTTGGACACAACTGAGTTTGAAGGTTTCCTTCTTATTTTGAATAGCATGTCTGATCTTGCTGTTTAATCATGCTTGTTTTCTTTTGATCTTAAGTATTTTTTAAACAATGTTATAAATTTGCTCAGAGTAGTGATGCATTGCATTTTGCATCAGAAACAGGAAGTCTGCCAGAGAGTCAGTCAAAGTGTCTACAACCATGTCTTGCGTGACTCAATCAGAACAAAAGCTTTTTACACAGAAATAAATTTTTATCTATGTGACATTCAGCATCCTGGAGCTCTCATCATCTTCCATGAATTTCTTCAATTCTTTGATCCGATTCTCTGAAGTCCTATAAATTTCAGTCTCTTCTCTTGTCTTTTCCTGAAAAGAAAAAAATAATGCTTTTCCACCCTCACCCTTCCTTTACAAACTCTTTTCTGTTAGCCGTGTCTTCTAACTCAGATCAGCAGCAGGAAGGCTTACCCACTCTGAATTTCGAGATCTCCTCTTTATTCACAGAACACATTTATCAGACTCTGTGAACTTCAGTCAAACTACAGAACTGTGAAAATACTAGAAAATTGTTATTCGTCCTGCTTCAAGCTGTCAAACATAAATAATCATAAATACCATGAGTGACAAAATATTCTTTCACGTATCTTGTTGGTAGATGCAGAGATTTACCTAAAATACCAAACTCAAAATATGTCGTGCTGCTATAAGGACATTGTCTTATAGATTTGTACACTTACTTCTTGAATCATCTCCCGTTTTTGTGTGTGCCATATTTTTTTAGCTTCATCAGTGTCTCAAGCAGTTTAGATCCTTGGTTAGAGGTAAGGCAAAAGCTAATTTCCTGTTTTACCTCATACTTTAGAATTGTTGCCCTTCAGAAAAAATTGCTTTCTACTAGCTCATATGGATTCTAGTATACTTGCATATGTCTGATTTTTCTTACAACCTTATTTTACATGAAGTGCAGCTGGGCCCAAGAATCTTTCGTTTAAGAGTGCTAAAGACTTAAAGCCCATGCTAAATAGCAAAGAGGTTTTGATCTCGTTTAAATGAGAAGCCTCCAGCATGGTGACACAAGCCTAAGTATGGATTATGTAACAGATCCTGCTATTTAGGGCAGCCTTAGCCCTGCAGAGTCAAGGTACTTTTTAAGATGTATGAGCTGAATTGAATTACCTTTTAATACCAATGTTTTTTGAAGATTTTCTTATGACTAATTGATCTTATGATTTCCGTAGATGCTACTCTATTTAATTCTGAGTAAAAAATTACACAATTTTCCTGTGTAGTTTCTTGATACGGAAAAAGCAAAATTATGCCCTTTCTGGGCTTTTTTGTTCTGTGGCTCAAAGAGTGAAAAAGCTGCTAAAATAAGAAGAAATACTCAAGTAGCCAATAAGCAGTAAATTTTTTGTTGTCATGAACAGGCTTATAAGAAATATCTATTAAATAGGCAAAGTAGACTCACTCTATTAAACCATTTTCTAACTTAAGTTTAATAATAAGGCTTTTGGTCTCCTTTACGGTTCAGAACTAATTTTTAAATAAATACACCATTATTTTTTGCATAGATTGATGGCCTATTGAATAAGCAAAGATACGATACTTGAGATGACTCTTTTCAGAATTCAGGTTCTTTACTGTTAGTATTCTCTGAGAATATTTAACTGTAAACTACTCTCGTCATCCTGGTTCTTTAAAATTAAACCATATGAGAAAACTTTTTGG